ATTAATTTTTTTCTTCATTTTTTTTTTTTTTTGATGGTGAATTATTGGGGGGATGATTGTACAGGCCATCCCCCCCACCTGAAATATTGGGGGGATATATCCCCCCATCCCCCCCGGGATCGACACCCAATCATGTGCATATGATATAGATAGAATGAAGTGTTAGTTTGAGACAAAAGATAGACAAGTGGTATGAATATCAGTGCAAAGGTGCATTTGTGAGATCTCGGGCAACTTGGCTTGAATTTGGTGAAAAGTCAACAAGATATTTTCTTCAGCTTGAAAAAGCTAAAGGGAAAAAGAAAGAAATAGATTGTCTTGAAAGTAACGGAAAAATTATCAAAGATGAACAGAAAATTTTGACAGGTATACGAGAATTTTATTGTAAACTCTATAAGGGAAATAATACCGAGGCTGGGTTTAAAGAATACGTATCTGATATCAACTTAAATGTTTTGAATGAAGAAGATGCAAATTTATGTGAGGGAAAAATCACAGAGGATGAATGCTGGGAAACATTGAAGTCAATGAAGATGAACAAATCACCTGGAAGCGATGGACTCAGTGTTGAATTTTATAAATGCTTCTGGGGGAATATCAAACATATGGTAATTGACAGTCTGAATGAGGGTTACGACAAACAACAATTGTCGTGCACACAAAGTCAAGCTATCCTTACTATATTATATAAGAAAGGTAACAAAAATGTTTTAGATAATTGGCGACCTATTTCGCTGTTAAACATTGATTATAAACTTGCAGCTCGCATTCTTTCAATACGATTACAGAAAGTTATATATAAACTTGTATCACAGGATCAGGCTGGTTTTTTTAAAAACCGCTCTGCATCTGAATGTACCAGACTAATTCAGGATACTATTGATTATTGTCTTTTTGCAAACAAACTAGTTGTTATGATGTTCTTGGATTTCAAAAAAGCGTTTGATACCACTGGTCATGTTTTTTTTTATTGTCCTTGTTACGGGAACTTAAATTTAAAGATTCGTTTTTAAGATGGATTGAAACGTTATATAATGGTGCTCATGGTCATTTCTTAAATTTTGGTTGGATATCCGACAAATTTGCAATAGAAAGAGGCGTTAGGCAAGGTTGTCCACTTTCTCCACTTTTATTTATAATAATTGCAGAGGTTTTAGGGAAAAGAATTAAACAAAACGCCAAAATAGAGGGAATCCAAGTCCCAGACTTCAAGGAAGATCAAGCTGATTTTAAAGATATACGTATCGTTCAATACGCAGACGATACGACGATTATTACTAGATGTGTTAAAGAAATAATGAAAGAAGTAGAACTGTTTGGAGCACATGCGGGACCAAAAATTAACTGGACCAAATCAAATCTTATGAAACTTAATATAAATGATGATGAAGTTGAAGATTTATATTTCACCGAAGACCCTATAAAATGTCTTGGTATTTATGTAGGTAAAAATTATTTTGACGTTCAAAATTTAAACTGGGAAAGTAAGGTAGAGAAAATAAAGAATACCTTGGATTTATGGAAAATGAGAAAACTTACATTGTACGGAAAAGTTGTTGTGATTAAACATTTAGTTATGTCTCAGATAGTACATACTGCCACGGCAGTTCCGATCCCTCCTAAAATAATTAAACGTATAAATAAACTGGCTTACACATTTTTATGGAATTCTAAAACAGAAAAGGTGAAACGAAACATCTGTCACAATCCTGAAGTTAAGGGGGTTGGGAATGATCGACTTAGAGTCAAAATGCCGGTCACTCCGTCTTTCATGGATTCATAAATATTTAAGAGATGAACAAAGTGCTTGGAAAATTTTGTTTAGATATTGGATCAAGAAAATGGGGATTTGCCACTTTGTTTGCATTTTAATTGCAAAAAGAGCGATATGTGTCGTATTTGTAGAAAAAAAACAGTTGCCTAACTTTTATGTTGACATGTTTTGTTCTTGGGCTGATTTAAAATACATTGATATGTTTAAAGTAACAGATATTGAAAATGAAATGATTTGGTATAATAGCAATATTAAAGATATGAATGAGTTATTGTATTTTCCAAACTGGATGAGAAACAATATTTTTAAAGTGAAACAAGTCTTAGTAAACGGTATCTGGAAAGAAGTTGATTCTATTTGTATTAATTTTCAAGAAAATGAATTACTTTCCGCCTTCAAATTGGCAAAGTTAAAAAGTGCATTTCCGAATTTTTGGTTGCAGAAATTACGTAATAGGTTACAATATGTAAATAGTCCACCGTCTGCAGTGGAATCCAGTATAATAGAAATAGTAACAGGTGACTCCATTGATGTAGCGGTCATGAAAGCCAAACACTATTATAATTTGATGTTAGAACAAAATAGACAGGATCTGCCGTGCATTTATTTTTGGAACGCTTATTTTGGTTTACCTGATGAGTTTAACTGGAAAACGGTGCTCCATTATAAATTTTACTTTATAAATGACAACAGAATTAAGCAGTTTAATTTTAAATATCTTCATAGAATATTGCCCAGTAAAGACAATTTATGTAAATGGAAGATTAAAAATAATAATCTATGTGATATATGTAAGATTCCAGATACAACTAACCACCTTCTCCTGGCTTGCAAGAAGGTTTCGCTTTTTTGGAAGATTGTATCCATATTAATTGATATTTCGTTTAATTTTAAAATCTTTTTGAACGAAGAAATTCTTTTAATAGGTTATGAAATAGAGAGAAGAGAAATGAATCTTGTCAATCTTATTTTAAACTTCGCTCAGTTTATTATCTATAGAAACTATATTAGAGAATGTTTTGGAAGTGAAAAGCACAGGATACATGCTGTATATTTGATAAAAGAGTTAAAGGTGGAAATTCGCACCTATCTCAATATGAAATGTAATCAAAAGAAATTCGATACAAACGAAGTTACAAAAGTTACAAAAATGTTTTCATTATTTTAGTTAGTGATTATGTCACATTAGTTTCATGTTCTGTACTATGTATGATATGTTACAACTGCATGAATTTTGTATTTAAACACTGTTGTAAATAGCTGTTATTTTATGATATGAACAAATAAAGTCCCTCGAAAGAGGATAAATAGAAGAAAAAATTCAGGGCCATGAATTACAAGAAATTTTTTATTATCGATTTCAACTATGCACGTATAAGCTTTCAGGGCTATATAATTTTGAATTTAAACTCCAATTAATACATTATTCTGCGAATTAGCAATAAAGATAGACTGCTCACAAGACGGTTAAAGGCAGCTCTAAATAATGTTCGACGTTGTAACTAAGGTCGATACCATATCATTAATAAACAGTGAAGACAATAAACTGCTCGGAGTACATCACAATAAATCGGATTCTTAAAAAAAATACTTTGTTGAAAAGGGGTCTATTCGCTATTCATAAGGACCGTTATTCATAACGTGTAAATTCCCGTACTTCCTGGTCCGCTATTCATAATGGCAAAAGAGGGTCACTATTCATAAAGAAATAAGGTTCGTTAATCATAAGGACCGCTATTCATAACGTGAGATAAGGGTCGCTATTCATAATTCATATTAAGGGTCATTAATCATAAGGACCGCTATTCATAATATGAAATCAGGGTCGCTATTCATAATACGACGAGAGGGTCGCTATTCATAATACGACGAGAGGGTCGCTATTCATAATACGAAATAAGAACAACAAATTATTTCAATCTGGACAGCAGAAATCCAGATTTACACCGAAATTGTTTAGTTTTCAGGTTCTGGATTTCTCTTTTACTTTTCTTTAAGGCTATATGAAAGATACCAGTAGCCAGAATTAATTACAAATTTATCATTACCCTTTAAGTGAGGGTTCTGCCTAATATTAAAATATTTCATGAATTGCAAAATTATCAAATTTATAAATTACACATGAATTGTTAATGTGTTACAATGGCAACAAATAATAAAACAGGCCTTCAATCATTTTGTTTTGGTAATTTTATTTTTATTGTAAAGCAAGACATTCAGTATTGAAAAATAAGCATAGTAAAGCAAAGGGCACGATAATTTCAGAAATACAAACAAAAAAAGATAATTACAAGACTTATGACTTTTATTACTATAGCAACATTAATTGGTTGAGATAAATGTTACATCTATCAACTGAGCACTAAATGGTATAAGCGTTATACCAATCTGCAGGGCACTAAATGGTATAAGCGTTATACCAATTTACAGGGCACTAAATGGTATAAGCGTTATACCAACCTACAGGGCACTAAATGGTATAAGCGTTATACCAATCTACAGGGCACTAAATGGTATAAGCGTAATACCAATCTACAGGGCACTAAATGGTATAAGCGTTATACCAATCTAGAGAGCACTAAATGGTATAAGCGTTATACCAATCTAGAGAGCACTAAATGGTATAAGCGTTATACCAATCTACAGAGCACTAAATGGTATAAGCGTTATACCAATCTACAGGGCACTAAATGGTATAAGCGTTATACCAACCTACAGGGCACTAAATGGTATAAGCGTTATACCAACCTACAGGGCAGTAAGTGGTATAACGCTTATACCAACCTACAGGGCAGTAAGTGGTATAACGCTTATACCATTTAGCGCCCTGTAGATTGGTATAACGCTTATACCACTCAGTGCCTTGTAGATTGGTATAACGCTTATACCATTTAGTGCTCTGTAGATTGGTAAAACGATTATACCATTTATAGTGCCCTGTAGATTGGTATAACGCTTATACCATTTAGTGCTCTGTAGATTGGTAAAACGATTATACCATTTAGTGCCCTGTAGATTGGTATAACGCTTATACCATTTAGTGCTTTGTAGGTTGTAATAACGTTTGAACCAATTTAGTAACCTGTAAGTTGTTTTAACGCTTATAGAGGACACTAAATGGTATAAATGTTATACCAACCAACTGGGCACTAAATGGTACAACTGTATATTGACAAATTAAATACAAATTATGCCATCAACTTAGAACCTAAAAATTTCAAAATCCTTAGCTTCCAGCTATCAAAATAACAGAAATATGCAAGTACAATCTAAAAAACTGATTAAAGATCAAAGATTTAGCGATTACAAACTAAAAAACTGATTAAAGATCAAATATTTAGCAATTACAAACTAAAAAACTGATTAAAGATCAAAAGTTTATGATGTACAATCCAATACGGTCAAGGCACTAACTGGTATAAGCATGTGTCACAAGTTATCTAGATTACTGTATTAGTTTATTGTATGGATTGCCAGACTCGCAAATTTCCAAATTGCAGCGGGTCCAAAATACAAAAAACAACAACAAGTGCACGACTAATTTGCAGCCTCCCATCTCTCGACTAACCCCACTTCTAAAGGAACTACACTGGTAGCCAGTTCGCCAGAGAATCATTTAAAATTTTAATGACAGGTTACAAAGCTCTAAATGGTCAAACTCCTAGTTTTCGTTACTGAATTTTTGCAAATCAAGTCTCATACTCATGGTTGTAACCTTTGTAGTACACAAGACACATTTTTGTTGCAAATGCCCCCATATAAAACCAAAATAACCCTCAGAGACAGGTCATTTCTTTGTGCTGCCCCTAGATTATGGAATAGATTACCACTAGAAATAAGGAAAGCCCCATCATTAGATAATTTTAAATCAAGACTGAAAACTCAAAACTCACTTGTCCATATAGTATGTATTTAGGAGCTCTTACAGCACAGTAGAATATATCCACATAGTTCTTGCACTTTACAAATGAATATATTATTATTATTATTATTATTATTATTATTATTATTATAAGGTACGTGGTATCATGGCACTATTATACAACAAAACAACAATTGAGCATTAGCTGGTACATGTATAAGCATTATTCAAATGAACTGGGCACTAACTGTTAGTCTCAAATATTTGGATGCTCCTGTGGATGTATTATAAGCACAATAAAAATTAGCCCTAACACCTTCTGCTTTTGAGAAAAATTGAATATAAAAATTTACTGGTGCTCCCGGTACGGCCGTACATTAGGAGCTGCGACCATGAAAAACTCAAAATATGTAGTTGTGATATATAACTCAGGGGTGGGGAGGGGGGAAGGAAAGAAAAGAAAAAAATCTGGGAAAAAAATTAAGCAAGGGAAACGCTCTCGGCGGTCTCGTCTGCATTACGGATTCGATAAGATGAAAAATTGAGGTTGGGACATTATTTATAGGCAGGGTGGCCTATGAGCAGCCCCCCCCCCCCAAAAAAAAAAGAAAGAAATCTTCTGAATACAATCAGCATCTCGAATCGAGTATTGGCTAAGAATCATCAGAAAATTGTTAACTATAATTTGTTCCAAGATTGATAACTTTAATGAAATATGAAGAAATAATAAAAAAAATATTTATTCTCATATTTAGTTGTGAAAACATAATCCAAGTCTACTGAAATAAAATGACCTTTGACCTGGACTTTGTGACCTGGAATTTGCGTCATATGATTTGTGATACTTGATAACCCTTGTGTACAAGTTTCATGGAATTTGAACAAACACTTTTGAAATTATGCTAAAAATTCAAAATCTTGAGATATATACCACAACAAAGTCTAAGTTTGCAGACCTCAAATTACATTTGACCTTGACTTTGTTACCTAAAAGACAAATCAAATGATTGGGGATACTGGATAACTCATTAGTCTAAGAATCATTGAATAAGAACCTATACTTTCAAAATTATATTACAAATTCAAAAACTTAACCTGAGGTTAAGTTTTCGATGATGATGCCACAACATAGTCCAAGTCTGTTGACCTGAAATGACCTTTGACCTTGACTTTGTGACCTGAAATTCTACTCATATGATTGGGATACTTGATTACCATTTGATCTAAGTTTCATTGAGTAAGAACTTATACTTTCAAAATTATACTAAAATTTCAAAATTTAACCTGAGGTTAAGTTTTTGATGTTGACGCTGTCGCCGTCAACGGAAAAGTGGCGCCTGCACTGTATGTCTTGCTCGCTTTTTGCTACGCAGGCGAGACAAAAATCAGGTAATTATCGGGCCTGATTAACTATTCACTAAATAAATATTCATCAATTCCCAATAGTTCAGAGTCTGTGATTTCTGTGCTTTCATTATCAACTCCTCCCTCCATGTTGCGTTGCTCCGTCTCTCCTTCCTCTTGTTGCTCTGTCTCTCCTTCCTCTTGTTGCTTCCTCTCTCCTTCCTCTTGTTGCTTCGTCTCTCCTTCCTCTTGTTGCTCTGTCTCTCCTTTCTCTTGTTGCTTCGTCTCTCCTTCCTCTTGTTGCTCTGTCTCTCCTTTCTCTTGTTGCTCCGTCTCTCCTTCCTCTTGTTGCTCTGTCTGTCCTTCCTCTTGTTGCTTCCTCTCTCCTTCCTCTTGTTGCTTCGTCTCTCCTTTCTCTTGTTGCTTCGTCTCTCCTTCCTCTTGTTGCTCTGTCTCTCCTTCCTCTTGTTGCTCCGTCTCTCCTTCCTCTTGTTGCTCTGTCTCTCCTTCCTCTTGTTGCTCCGTCTCTCCTTCCTCTTGTTGCTCTGTCTCTCCTTCCTCTTGTTGCTCTGTCTCTCCTTTCTCTTGTTGCTTCGTCTCTCCTTCCTCTTGTTGCTCTGTCTCTCCTGCCTCTTGTTGCTCCGTCTCTCCTTCTTCTCTCTCTCCTTCTTCTCTCTCTCCTTCCTCTGAATCCTCCCTGAATACCTGTCCAAACCTCTGCATTGATGTGGTTTGCCGTGCGAGTTCACCTGTACAGAAATAGATGGGGCCAATCATTTTAATAAATTTTACTACAGATACTTTTAGGTTGTTCTTAAAGATTTGGCAGTTTGGGCTGGAACATCTTTACTAACCTGATTTTCATCATGAGCACAAGATGGTTTAATTGTAACAGCTTAATTAAGGCTTTTAAGAATGCATGAGGGGACTGACTCATAGCTTCATCACAACTTATTTTAAATAAATATGTTAGTCATCAATGATTAAAATACACAGCTTTTTTACAGGTCATAACAAGAATGTTTTCTGGTGTTAAACATTTTTTATGCTCAGTATGCAAAGAATGCCGAGTCGCATGGCCGTGCATATATACACATAAAACTACAATGGTCGGCAGCATAACGGTTAGTTTTTAAAGATTTGCGGCAGGAACATGGCACTTTGCAGGGGTAGATCCAGGAGTTTCCAGGGGGGGGGGGCGTGAAATGTACAACATTGTGACGCGAAGCCTTTATGATCCTGGGCCTGCTTATGAGCCACAGAAAATTGTTGAACGTACCCTATTTTAACTGGCTATTTCAGACCAGCTTTTTACAGAGGGTGGTCAATTTGCCCCCCCCCCCCAAGATCTTGGCCGTTTAATAGCCGATCGCCGCGAAAATTTGCATGCATGTCAAGTGAAGTGTATAGAATACTATGGTAATTCAAATTTCTTGAAAAATTCACTCATTTGCATATTTATGGTAATTTATGCAAATAAGGTCATAAATTTTACCCATAAATCAAATATTATTCATATTTAGCATTCTTTTTCACTACATATATTTGTTAGACCATTTGGAATAATAATACAACACAAAAATTGGAAGAACCAGGTTAATTCTTACATTGTCTCTTGTTTTTATAATTTCTTTGTTTTTTAACTCATGTATTTCATAGTTTTTGTAATTTAATTTAATTTTTAACTCTAGTTCAACTGTTTTGACTCCAAAACAAACCCCTAAACTTTAAACAAGTCCAAATAACCAATGTTTTATCTCTTTTTAGAAAAAATAATATTTCCATATGTTCTTTACACAAATCACAAAAATGATTGAATTTCAGGCTGACAATCAGAGACAAAAGGTCTTGTGACTTTGTAACTATATGTCCGTTAAAAAAAAAAAATTGTTTTAAAGATACGTAAGACTCGAAAGAACTTGAAAAGTCATGAAAGGAAAACTTTTTATCTGCCCCGGTTCCGGAGTAGTCGCTAAATTACTACAGGGAGGGGGGGGGGGGCTCAAATTGACCCCCCCCCCTCATTTTTGTGAATATTTATTAACTTTTTTTCAGAAGAAAAAGTGGGGGAGCATGCACCCCCCCCCCTTGCTTCTTCCCCTGGATCTGCCCCTGCTACGCATGATATACACAAAACTGGATTGGCAAACTTCAGCGACCTTACGCTGTAGTTTCAATCGAGGCAGACAACAAAACACATTTACCATCTCCTATTTCTGACAAGGAGTTAATTTTAATCATCACACCCTCCAAGAAAGAGGTGATTATGATTGTTTTGTTTTAATTAATTGATAATTATAAGTAATAAAACTTAAAGGTTTATTACTTATAAGGGTCGCTATTCATAACACGGGAAGAGGGTCGCTATTCATAATACGAAATGAGGGTCGCTATTCATAATAGGAGAAGAGGGTCGCTATTCATAATACGGAATGAGGGTCGCTATTCATAATAGGAGAAGAGGGTCGCTATTCATAATACGAAATGAGGGTCGCTATTCATAATAGGAGAAGAGGGTCGCAATTCATAATAGGAGAAGAGGGTCGCTATTCATAATATGAAATGAGGTTCGCTATTCATAATAGGAGAAGAGGGTCGCTATTCATAATAGGAGAAGAGGGTCGCTATTCATAATACGAAATGAGGTTCGCTATTCATAATAGGAGAAGAGGGTCGCTATTCATAATAGGAGAAGAGGGTCGCTATTCATAATAGGAGAAGAGGGTCGCTATTCATAATACGAAATGAGGGTCGCTATTCGTAATAGGAGAAGAGGGTCGCTATTCATAATAGGAGAAGAGGGTCGCTATTCATAATACGACTAGAGGTTCGCTATTCATAATACGAAATGAGGATCGCTATTCATAATACGGTATAAGGGTTGCTATTCATAAAAAAATGTAAATTAAATAAGCAATAAACATCTGTAGGCGGAATAATGGATAGGGGATACCCCACGGCTGTAGCGTAGGCGGGAGGGGGCCATATGGCCCCGAATATTTGTAGAAAACATTTATTGAAAACATAATTGAAAACATTTCTGAACAAAAGAAAAAGGCGTGCCCCCCCCCCCCATCAGTCCGACCATTCGGCCTACCCTCCCTGCAGTATTTCCGTGGTACAAGTACATATTACTGACAATTCTCGTCCAATTAGTTTATAGATGGCGTAGACTGTTTGTGTTTCACGGGGGGGGGTGCGGTTGGGGCGTAGCAGTGTTGCCATCAAGGGGTTGATCTATCATGTCCCTTACCTCCAGCAAAGGATGGAAGCGACAAAAAGGGGGTTGTAGGCAGGGGCGTCGCTAGACCTTTTTCAGTTTGAGGTGGGGGGGGGGGGGGGGGGTGAAGAGGCCACCGAATAACGACAAAAATAGCTACCATTTATATATTAACATATATATATATATATATATGTTAATGCCAATGTCCCAATGTCTACAAATTTAACCCTATAAATCCGGGGCCAGGAGCTAAATTATTTTCACCCCCCCCCCTTCCCGTGCGAAGCGCAGAAGCTTTGACGTTCCATTAAAATATTAGAGAAAGAAGACGATTCGTTGTACCGTTCACTACTCTTAATCCTTGTCTGAATTCATTTTCCCCCGTATAAGTGCCCTTCAAAGCTTATTTTGATCCCTCCCCTGTTGTTTTCTAGAACTTCCATGATGACCTAGTACATTGTATAATGCTTTTACTTGCAGAAAACTAGTAAGATGCATGTGCTTGCTTGCATTGAGGTCAATTCAGGTCTTACATATTGATGAGCTGTTTGAAATTAACTAGGAGGTATGCGCGTATTTGGGGAATGTGGCTTGCTGCTCTACTTTTTTTAAAAAACTTCCCACGACATGTAATGAGTGTTAAGTGTACATTATATGGGACGTACAGTGATAGATGGAAAGTTATTTCAGTATATTCGAAATGACTTTTAGGTAACTCCTTTTTCCTCCCACATCATCAACATTCATTCATTTCATTTCATCTACATTAGTTCATGAAATGCATTCAGAAAATGAAGAAAAAAAGAAACGGAAATAACCCGTTAAAGCGCGGAAGCTTTAACGTTTCATTAAAATATTAGACAAAGAAGACGATTCGGACGATTCGGGCGACTCTTAATCATTGTCTGAATTCTCAAAAATGTTTCTTTATCCGATAAAAAGTCGCACTTCGTAGGGGGAAAAAATTACCGACATAATACATCTCACCGACTTCAAACTTCTACATAAATATAGTATACGAAGATCGAGCAAGAATACCGACACAGCAGACCCGACACAGCAACAAAATTATCTATGCGTATCTTTCTTGCTCCCTCGACGTGGCGACTCCACCAAACATACCCCTCTCTCTCTTTCTCTTTAATCCCCTTTTTCTTTTGCTCCTTTTCTTTCTTTTTTCTTCTTTTCCTTTCTTTCCTCTCCTTCTTCTTTGTCTTTTTTCTCTTTCTTTCTTCTCTTCTCTTTCCTTTCTTTCCTTTCTTTTCCTTTTCTTTTCTTTTCTTTCCCTTTCCCTCTCCTTTTTCCCCTCCTCCTTTTCTCATTTTTCCCAACAGCAGCGCAATTTTACCGACAATATCTTGACAGATTGGGTTGTCGCACCCCACACCCCCCTTAGCGACGCCCCTGGTTGTAGAGAGTTAGATTATATACAATATTCAAGCTTTTCGTAAATATATAATATTGTACGATTTTGTTTTTCTCCTCATAAGGAAGTAAGATTTTCAAGATTTAAAGTCAAATAAGATACGATTTTGCGACCGTAAAGCATTATGCAAACGGTGGCGTCCCCTTTATTATGTCTTTTTTTAAAGTAGGCCTATATTTTCTTTTAAGCTTTGATAATTATATAAAAATACATCCCCCCTAATCTAGCTAATATATTTCCCCCGCTCCAGTGGTGACAAAAAAGGGAAACATAACATAACACACACATAATCCTATCGTAATTTGTCCCCCTTGTGCGAAACCCTTGTAGGAAACCACCTCAGCCCCCCCCCGAAAATAAATATTAAGGTCCGCTACCTGAATGTCCGAGTCGTCATCATAAAGGCGAAGGCGGCGGGTGTGGGGGGGGGGGGGGGGAGGGGGGAGGGGAAGTGAGCTTGAGGATGTTTCATGATTCAAATGTTATTGATTTAAATTCTCAATTATGTTTATAACATTGGATAACAAATTTCAAACCTACTTAAAAACAAGACAAATATTCAGGGCCATGTGTCGCCTTGGGGGTGTCCTCCGTCCAATATTTCCATTTGTCATGAGCATTTTGGATATTGCTTAGGCCTATTTCATTTTATGAATAAAAACCCTCATCCCGTATTATGAATAGCGACCCTCTACTCCTATTATGAATAGCGAACCTCATTTCATATTATGAATAGTGACCCTATTATGAATAGCGACCCTCATTTCGTATTATGAATAGCAACCCTCTACACCTATTATGAATAGCGACCTTCTTCTCCTATTATGAATAGCGACCCTCTTCTCCTATTATGAATAGCGAACCTCATTTCGTATTATGAATAGCGACCCTCTTCTCCTATTATGAATACCGAACCTCATTTCGTATTATGAATAGCGACCATCTTCTCCTATTATGAATAGCGACCCTCTTCTCCTATTATGAATAGCGACCCTCTTCTCCTATTATGAATAGCGACCCTCATTTCGTATTATGAATAGCGACCCTCTTCTCCTATTATGAATAGCGACCCTCTTCTCCTATTATGAATAGCGACCCTCTTCTATTATGGATGGCGAACCTCATTTACTTTTATGAATAGCGACCCTCTTCTCCTATTATGAACAGCGAACCTCATTTCGTATTATGAATAGCGACCCTCTTCTCCTATTATGAATAGCGAACCTCATTTCGTATTATGAATAGCGACCCTCTTCTCCTATTATGAATAGCGACCCTCTTCTCCTATTATGAATAGCGACCCTCTTCTCCTATTATGGATAGCGAACCTCATTTCCTTTTATGAATAGCGACCCTTTTCTCCTATATGAATAGCGACCCTTATGAATAACGACCCCGATTTTGCATTATGAATAGCGACCCTCTTCTCCTATTATGAATACCGACCCTCTTATCTGATTATGAATAGCGGTCCTTATGAATAACGAACCTTATGAATAATGACCCTTTTCTCCAATTATGAAAAGCGGTTCTTATGAATAGCGGTCCTTATGAATAACGGACCTTATGAATAGCGGACCTTATGAATAGCGACATTGACCCGTTGAAAATATCAGTCGCACACGTAGCTACGTGTGCGACTGATAGGGTGTGTAGATGACAAAAGAAAGTTTGCCCTGGATGTTTTACATGCGTTTTGTGAATTGAAAGATGCTTTACTTTAGTAGGCTACCTGGATCTCGGGATTGCTTTGTTTTGTATTGATGTGTACTCATCATCATCAAATTCAGGTGGCGCTGTAAAGCGCTGCTGTGGTCTTCATGCAACCTTTTCACCTTCCATTTGTGTTGCACCTTTCATTCCTTGTCCAGACATATAATTAATATACAGTGAAGACAATTAACTGCTCGGAGGAACTTCGCACACGTAGCTACGTGTGCGACTGATATTTTCATCAAAGTATTTTTTTATGAATCCGATTTATTGTGATGTACTCCGAGCATGCGCAGTTCATTGTCTTTACTGTATATTAATGCTATGGTATCGACCTTAGTTACAACGTCGAACATTATTTAGAGCTGCCTTTACCCGTCTTGCGAGCAGTCTAACTTTATAGCTAATTCGCAGAATAATGTATTAATTCCGACGAGTTTAAATTCAAATTAAGCCCTGAAAGCTTATACGTGCATAGTTGAAATCGATAATAAAAAGTAATACTTCATTTATATCAGACCTGAATCAATGAGTTAATGTAAATACTGGACACATTTGAGCAGCTTTTCCGATAGTTGTACCCACTTGTGTAATACTCTTGGAAAGAAAGTAATCATGGGGACCGCATGTACCAAGACATCCAGTGGCACAAAATACACCTTGTTCGTAAAAACGGGTGATCGATTTGGTATGGGCACGGACGCCGCGGTCTCGGTTGCCTTTTATAACGAGCAAGGACTTCGTTCCCCGGATTTCAAGCTCGGCAACCTGTTCCAAAACGACTTCAAGTCCGGTCACGTGGATAAGATGCAGATTGTGTTTGAGAATCACCAGTTTGGAGACCCGGCCCACATAGAGCTGTCGCGGAACCGATGTGGACTCGGAGACTCCTGGTTTTGCGAGGTTGTCAGGGTGGTGAACGTGGAGACGAAGAGGGTGCACATGTTTCCCATCCATCGCTGGGTTAATCCCGAATCCCCGATCAAACTGAAGGAGTACGATGCCGTACTTCCACAGTATGACGAGAACGTGGCACAGAGACAAGGCGAGCTCAAAAGGAAGAGAGATCTGTACGTCCCGGTCAGGAATGAACAAACAGGGATGATCACGGTAAGGATGTTTCTCGTATTATAATCAAGGCTTGTTCACGTATATACCGTGGTAAAACGTGGCGGTAAACAGCGACGGTTTGTCGCGAGGGTACTTTCTGCATTCCCACTTGGCATTTGTTTTACTATACGCGTTGCAGCAAACGTGAACGATTCTTTAGAAGGATTAAACTGCTATAAGATCTCAATTACATCAACTATATAGCTTCATCATAATAACTTAGAAAGAGAACATGTGAGGGAGTGCTGAAAGAAAGGTTGAGAGAGAGGGAAAGAAAGCGCGAAAGATATATTTCAAAAGAGTTTTAAAAAAGAAAGATTCTATTAAAAATCTAAACTCCATCTTCAATTTCATGATATAGATTAACATTTTCATCTAAAATGATAAGGAATTTAATAGAGAGCATTTGATAGATGATGATAATAATAATAATAATAATAACAGTTATAATATTAGCAATGATAATAGTGTCTATAATGACAATAATAATAATAATTAATAATTCATCTTTCATTTTTTTTTTAATCGTTATGTTAACCAAGGAAAGTCTTATCATCATTAAAGTTGTTCTTGATGATAGCCCTGCTATTACATGTATTATTACCTCAGTAATTGCCAGGTTCCCTTTTATACGTCAGTAACACCAACGAGATCAACCCTATACTGCTAGCTAAGAATCGGTCGGTTTGGAGTCGTTGGGTCGGTCTGACGGTGTAACCGAGGAATTACACCTTGACGGAGAGTGGCAAATTCAATTCAATTTAAATTCAAAGTAAAATTTGTGGATTAAAATCTCGCCAAAAGACGAATTGTTAGGGTCGGAATCGAACCCTCAACCGGAAGATTAAGAGTCAAGTGAATACCGCGATAAGATTGGAGAAAAGGAGAGAGAGAGAGAGAGATTTGATTTTAATTACTTTCATTCTGCGTTGTATATAATTTTAAACATTTTTCGGTAAACAAAACAAATACAAAATACTAAAAAGTACTTTCTGACAATTCGTCCCTTTTTTCACGAAGTGACGGTAATGAGGAAAATCGCATATAATTTCAATTTTTTTTTTGTTGTTGCATTTTTGGACATCATTCACTAACATTGAATTGAATTTTGAATTGAATTGAACTTTATTTCATTCATCATAAAAACACCATAACAAACATATAAAATACAAAACATAGCGTACAAGTTAAAGAGAAACATTTACAATACAATACAACAACAAAAATATATATGAATGTGGAGACAGCTAGGTAAGCCAAAGGCTTTATTGGTGCTGCCACCAAAACAGTAATAAAGTATAATACAGTATTATATTGTTGGTGATTAAAAAAAAAAAAATATATATATATATATATATATATATAAGCCTAAATAGAGGTGGGGGGACAAAAACAAAACAAAAACCAGGCCGTGTACATAATCAATCTTACGTTATTTTGTTGGATTAAAAATGATTTATATCTCCTTTTAAAAACGTTAATTGATGGACTAGATTTGATATCTTGAGGTATATTATTCCACAATATTGTGGCCCTTTAAAAAATATTGATTTCTTAGTTATATTTAGTCTTATTTTATTTAAATGAAAATTAGAAGAACTTCGAGTATTATGAATGTAATGCAGAATTAAGACAAAATTTGCTGGAAAGACTAATTGGTATGAAATTATTAAAACTTAAGTACATAAATATTGCAAAACTATAATTGCAAATATCTAGGACATTCAAAAGTTTTAATTTTAGAAATAAAGGTTTAGTATGAGCAAAATAATAGGCATGTAAGACTAAACGAAAAGTTCTTTTCTGTAAGCATAATAATCTTCTCATTGCATGATCAGTTGAGGATCCCCATACCAGGCAAGGTTACAATAATTAAAATAAGGAGATATAATGACATTATAAATCATAATCAAAATATTTGAAGGAGAATGTTTAATTTTATTTAAAATGCCTATACCTTTAGAAATATTCGTGCAGATAACATCAATGTGCTCCTTCCAAGATAATTTACTGTCAATTGTTACACCTAAAAATTTCAGGGAGCTACAACGATTAATTACATTATCATTTAAGGAAACAGCCAACGTGTCACGATCGATAAACATATTAGAAAAGATCATATAATGAGTTTTTGTAGTATTTACAATTAATTTATTAGAGATCAACCATGAATTTATTTTCAATAATTCATCATTAAAATCAAGAATCAAATTGTCAATATTGTTATCGGATAAAAAGACACTGGTATCATCTGCATATTTTTTTTTTTCTCTTTAACCTCAATCAGAGGAACTTTATTATTCAAATTGACATTCCTTTTTGTTTCTTTTCCTTCAAATAAACAAATTCAACTCATATACAATCATAAACAAATAAAATATTGCAACGTCCCATTAGTTTGTTCATGAGTACATCTGTTTTCGTTGTCTACAGCATCTCAATTAATTTCTGTACCATATTGTTGTTTTCTCTTTTAATACTTTTACAGTTCAAATAAAATGTCAACTCATATTTAAGACTACGATATAGAGTTCTCGCATGTGTTCTATTAAATGATTGTAAATTCTTTATGTGGTTTCTATATATTACATACTCAGCAAAATTTATTATTAAATTTACTAAATGACAAATTGAGTTTTCAACTTCATAACCAAGTATTAAAATCTGTTCAGTCATCTGAATATTTAGACCACATAAATTTTGCCCAAAGATGCCATCAAAAGAATTAATAAGTTATTATACTCCTTTTTGTGGCGCTCAAAAACAGAAAAAATAAGAAGAAATATTTGTATTAATGATGTTACAAGTGGGGGGTTGGGAATGATTGATCTGGAAGCTAGAGTTAGTGCATTGCGTCTGTCATGGATAATGAAATATTTGAACTGTCAAAATACCTCATGGAAAACATTGTTTTCCTATTGGATTGACAAGGTTGGGGGAATACCCTTAAGTTTAGAATTTAACTGTCACAAGAAAGACATGGAAAAATTATGTAAAACAGCAAATTTGCCATATTTTTACTTTGATTTGCTTTGTACATGGTCTGAACTAAAATATGTAAATATTGAGGGGACGAATAACATAATGAGAACGATACTATGGAATAATAGTAATATTAAAATAAGGAACCGAATGCTTCATTTTAAGGTGTGGGAGAGAGGAGGAATAAAAAGAGTACACCATGTTCTTAATGACGGTCGATGGAAAAACTCTGACGAAACTGCCCAAAGATATGGGTTACCCAAAATGTTATTTGCTTTTAAGTTTGCTATGTTGAAAAAGGCTTTCCCCTTGGTATGGTTGCGTAAATCACAAGATGTAGAACGTGATGAAGTAATTGATTTACAGACCATTGAGATTTCGACAGGGGATATGATAGATTTGTCAAAACTTAATACGAAAATAATATATTCACTGATTGTGCAAAAAAATAAGAAAAAACCATATATTTTAAACGCATGGCAACAACGACTACACTTACATGCGGATTTTAATTGGTCATCTGTTCTACAGTTTAAATTTCATGTTGTACGGAATAATAAAATCAGAGAATTTAACTTTAAACTTTTGCATATGATTTTACCATCACGATACAATTTATGCAAATGGAAGATCTTAGATTATAATACATGTGAGATATGTAATACGCTAGAAACCACTAAGCATATGATGTTGGAGTGTGAAAACGTAAGATTGTTTTGGAGAATTGTTTCAGGTGTAATCTTCAATTTATGTATCATCTGCATATAAAATATATCCAAACTTTTGAGATGATGCACAAATATCGTTCATATAAATGAGAAATAAAAGTGGACCAAGAATGGATCCCTGAGGCACTCCACATCCTACAGCACTCAAATAAGACTCATTACCATTGAAAACTACAAATTGTTTACGATTAGTTAAATAATTTTGAAAAAAATCTAAAAGAATACCACGAATACCATAATTTTCTAATTTATGAAATGGAATTGAATGGTCTAGAGTATCAAAAGCCTTACTCAAATCAAGAAACAAACCAATTAAAATTGTCTTTTTATCAAGAGCATTAGTAACTATATAAAACAAATCAACTATAGCAGAGGATAGAGTACCCTGGACGAAATCCATACTGGCTTTCTGTTAATATATTGCACTGATCAACACATTTTAGTCGATTAGAAAGACATTTTCAAAATTTTTAGAAAATATAGGCAGTACAGAAATAGGTCGATAATTATGTAAACAATCAGACAATCCATTTAAAAAAAAACTGGTATCACTTTTGCTATTGTTAACCCTATGGGAAAATACCCATACTCATTGAAAAATTTAAAATATCACATAGTGGACGATAACAAATTAAATGAATCACTCGTTTCGTAATCGATACACCAATTTCATCAAAAACCAGTACTTGATCGATTCTTTAAATTACAAACGATATCAATAATTTCTTTTGCTGATATATAGGCAGATTGAGGATTCCTGGTCAGATATTGCACATTGTTATGCCTCCGCCACCGAAGGTGGTGCCGGAGGCATCATGTTTTCGGGTTGTCCGTCCGTACGTCCGTACGTCCGTCCCGTTTGACCGTTATCACAATATCTCAAGAACCATTTAAGATTTAAACTTAAGACTCGGGAATAGTATTTATCACCATAGGAAGACTATCTGATTAGATTTTGGAGTACGTAGGTCAAAGGTCACAGGTCACAGAGGTCAACTTATGAAATTCCTTGTATTGAGTTTGTTAGCACGATATCTCAAGAACCATTTGAGATTTAAACTTCAAGCTTAAGGATAGTATGTATCACCATAGGAAGACGATCTGATTAGATTTTGGAGCACGTATGTCAAAGGTCAAGGGTCACAGAGGTCAACTTATGAAATTCCATACATTGAGATTGTTATCATGATATCTCAAGAACCACTGGAGATTTAAACTTCAAACTTAGTGATAGTGTGTATCACTATGGGAAAACAATCTGATTACATTTTGGAGCACGTAGGTCAAAGT